TCATTTATTTGAATTCAAATTTATTTTAGTGACTTAGTATTTACCAAAAAGATGTAATTTTTTAATAAAAAAAATTTTTTATATGGATTGTTTTGAATTCTTAGAATTTTGTGCATTTGCAATGTACTTAAGTTAGTAGCGAGCGAATCCAGCTTGGTTTGCGAAGCAAACCATATAAGATTGCGTAGCAATTTTCGAGGGTTGGCGAGCGTTAGCGAGCAGAGGGCGCAGCCCACTAGTTTTTTATATTTGTTATGTCCAATGAGATCGATTATAAACTTAGAAGCTTCTATAAAAGTGAATAAATAATTCCAAAACAAATAAATGAATACAAAAGTTATGTGATCTAAAAAATAAAATTGATGAGATAAATTACTCATTAGAACTAAAAGCATTCTTTAAACCAGTTTCATCAATTAACCGCATATTTCATTGATCACAAATCTTTTTTTTCAATACGTCAGATTTAGTTTAATATGTTATATTCAGTATTAAGCAGTTATATTTAAGGTAATCTTAGATTCCATTATTGACTGTGCATTTAAATTACGTAACATACTTTTTTGACTATTTGATTTATTTTTAAATGAAAAATGATTAAAAAATGTAGTCTTTTGAAATCTCTCCCATTATATGCTGGCTATTAAATATTGCTCATGTTCTCTGGTTCATATATTGATTAGGATATCGATGTTTTACGATACGAAGACAATACGAATTTTTTTGCCCAATAAAATAAAAGTATAAAATGAACCCCAGTGCATTTTACTTGTCTCAATATGAAAAGAGAAATTTATTTTTGAATAAATTTATCTCCTAATCTCAGAGAACAATAAAGAATCTGTCTTTTTATCGATAAAACCGAGGGAATTTCCCTTCAACTATTTAAAAGATAGCCAGAGTTTAATAAAACGATTTCCACCCTCTAAAGAAAAAAAAAACATCTTTTTCAACGACACTCATTTTATTCTCGATAGAAAAAAGGAGGGTAAGTAAATTTTCAATTTTTTTTATTAATTCATGCAAATAAATATTTTATTTCATATACGATCATATTTAATGGAATATTCCGCTTTTAAGTATACAATTTGAAGAAATCTAATTATATTTCTTTACTCCAAGGAAGTCTTTATCCAATGTATTAATTTAGACGTACCAAATTATATAAATAGTTATCCGCAAACTTCGAAATCCGTTTATATGCTCATCAGTCAATCTTCAGATTAACTATTGTGATCCGTTCAATCACGGAATCAAGAGTTTTTCCAATTTATTTAGGTAATGTATGCATTAACGGTCGCTAATGCACACATTACAGTAAAATTAATTCTCTTGTTAAATAAATTAAATCTTGTCCTGTTTGATAATTAAATCCTGTTAATATTTTTTTTCTTGTTTGGTCTCTTGTTGATAAGCTTTTTTTCTCTTGTTAAATAATTAGTTTCTTGATTAAATAAATAATCCCAAGAATTTGAAGCAGTGTGATATTACCTGATTAAAAACTTCATAAATGGAAAATAACAGTTGTCTTGTTTTAAGCGCTCAAAAATAGACGCCCATTTCCAAGACTTACCAGACTTGACTATATCATTTAACGCAAAACGTATTTATCATGCATAATTTAAGTATATTATTTCAATAAAAAAGTTAAAATGTCAGTGTTTTACTTGAAAGTTTTGATATGAATGAGCAAATCTATTAATCAACAGAGCGCGAAAGTTCATACATGTCCTAGCTCGTCTTGCTAAGCACTCTTATGTTGTAACTTAGTCATTTTTTGAAAATCAAGTTTTGGAGGTTCTCGTGGTCTTCCTCTTCATGTAACGCATATGCTAAACTTTTAAAAAATGTAATAATATTTTTTTCTTCATTTTTTTAAAATCTACTGTGTTGTTTGTTCCCCTTTAATTGGATCGTGAATTAGGACTTTTTCTTATGTAAATAAATATATTTTCGTGTTTTGCACAACATATTGATCTGAGAATTCAGTATTAATTTAGGTCAAAGATAAATGTCAGCATCCCTCAATTAAAACTGAAATTATCAAGCATTGAGCTGAGATTTTCGTCTACTTCGTTTCACATGGCAATCAGAAATATCCCATTCAGAGTTTCAAATTAAAGAATGCTTAACAGAAAATCAGTTAGCTTGATACTTTTTATTCTCAAATGCGGCTCATAAGGTGATACTTCAGGAAAGTAGGCTTAGATCAAGACTAATAGCTCTTTAAAAACTATGACATAATATTCCTCCGAATTCGATGGTGATCAACCCAAACATTTTTGTGAAGGAGCAGTTTTTTTTAAAGAATTAACTCCGAATTGAGGTTTCATATACAATTTAACCGATGTAATTAATTTTAAAGCTTTCACAATGGAAAAAATTTACACCACCATTTTTGGTGCTCTAAAATTTTTACTGTAGTGGGAGCAGTTTAAAACAGCTATACTTATAGCTCTATGTCACTATTTTATTGATGTGTGGTCGCATTGCCTTGTTGGAAATCCCACCTCGGTTAATAATATGTCTCTAAAAGGTTGCCTCTGGTTACAAACATTGTAAAAAAATTCAGATTAAATTGCTATATGAAGTACTGACACTTTAGGTGCATCATCCGTAAAATCTATTTTTACCGTAAAAAATTATACCGTAATGTTTATAGTATTTATTAAATTAAAGTGATTAATGGTTTTACCGTATTTATTACCATAAATCTTACGGTACATCAGATTTTTTGTTCCTCACCATGTACCAGTAAAAATGGATTTTACAATAAAAATTACTACTACTCCAAGTGTCGATACTTTTTATCGTTATTTGATCTTTAATTTTTCACAGTTTAGTCTGCTTTGATATTTAGCTGAGTTTTACGACCACTCAAAAACGCTTGACTGGTTTGGCCATTTGAATCCAAAGGAACCCCAAACCAAGATGGGATTCTCCAATATGTTCGATAAATACATTCGGTTGTTTTTTAGAATTTGCCAATAATAACTATCGCCGTTAGGAACACCGAAATTGCACTATTCTTTCATCGCTCATAGTCGTATGACATGAACGGAGAGCAAAACTTTTTCGCTTTTGTTCTTTTTTACTTCGAATCTTCTCTTATCTTTTTATAACAATTACAGTAAAATAATAAGGGGAAAATCTGTATTATTTTACAGTTTATAGAAAAATTCTGAGTGTATCTGAATTTTTGTGCCACAATATATTCATTTTCTTCTAGTTATCATTTTAGCTTCAGAAATATTGGTATAAGATGTTAAACTCTTTTGTTTTTGTTTCTTGTTTATGGGCATGCAAAGCCTATGTCTCAAATGCTTTAACTAATTTCAATGTTTTCTTACTGATAACTTATAATCACATAAGGAGTTCTTTAATTTCTTTAGGGTGTAAGAAAAAGGCTATCTAGAAAAAAGTTGAAAAGACTGATCTGAAAAGAAGTTGTGAACTGCTGGTTTAAGTGCAGATGATTCTTCAAAAAATGTGACATTCAAAAAATTCAAGAAGGGTAAGACAATCTGATTTATAAAAATTAAAACAAAACCCAATTATTTATCTAATTAATCTACGTATATACGAATTACGTGAAATACAGGGTGTTTATAAAGTCCCGGACCGATTTTGATGTTTAATAACTCATAAAATAATAAAGATAGATTAAAATTAATAACATAAATGGTTAGATAGANTGTGGTGTGGACTAATGCACGATCAAGTCATTGGGCCTTTCTTTTTTACAGAAAAGACGGTCTCATCAGTCGTATACTTAGACATGTTGGAAAACTTCGTATTTCCACAACTAAAAGAGCTTCAGCCACATGTCTTTTTGCAACAAGATGGTGCACCACCTCATTGGGGTATCATAGTTCGTAGTTCTTTGAATGACCATTTTCCAGGAAGATGGATTGGGCTAAGAGGTCCAATTCCTTAGCCACTCAGATCACCTGATATAATGCCGCTGGACTTTTCCCTTTAGGGATTTATAAAGGACAATGTTTACAAGAGGATCGTGTCGAACATTGATGACTTAAAAGCCAGAATTACAACCGCAATAGCCTCTGTGGATGCCGACATGCTTGTCGCTACCTGACGTGAAATTGACTATCGACTTGATATTCTCCGTGCGATGTCAATTTCATTGACAAAGGTCATGAAATTTTTTCAGTCTATCTAACCATTTATGTTATTAATTTTAATCTATCTTTATTATTTTATGAGTTATTAAACATCAAAATGGGTCCGGGACTTTATAAACACCCTGTATATATTGGCACAGACTTTAAATATATAGTTTAGAAGTAGTTAATTTTATGTTAATTATAACAAGTATAAATGTTAATGCTATCCCTTTTGTAATTTTTATTATTTGTTGGATAAATTATCTTAAAACAAAACTATGTAAAAACAGCCAACATTTGATTCGTCAAAATACTAACACAAACATATTTACTGATTAAAACGTTATAACAAAGACTTTTTTATAACGCATATTGTTCTTCATAAGAAAATTTATATGTTTATTTAATTAATTTATTTATAATCCTTTTCAACATATTAAGCTCAGTAATTTTTCCCAAATATTACATTTATATGCTCCATAAATAATGAATATATTTTTAATTTTTTAAATATTTTTCATTAAGGAAAAGTAAAGGCTGACAGGATTCAAGAGTGACCGATCTTGATGTAAAAAATTAACGCAATTAAATATAAGCATTTTCAGTTTTCGAACAATTTATTCTTAAAATACACAACTGGCAATACACTTGAAGTTTTTATTTTTGTAAAACTAACTGCATTTAAACATCTGGCTGAAACCGATCATACGAGTGCAACGTTTAATCGTCAATTAAAATTTTATTTATAGGAATTTCTTGTTCGTTTTACTCTTAAGATCTTTTGAAGATAGATGAATAAAATTTATTTGTAGTTAATCCTCGTTAATTTTGACTCGTTAATTAATGACTCCTGAATGTGAACAGTTGCCTTCTTCCATCACACATAAAATAATTCACCTACTTTGTAACAATGCATATACTAATATTTTTCCTCTTAATATATAAATTAAGCTTTTTTGTTTAAAAAAATAAACGATAATTAAATTTTTCAATTTTATTGTTTGAATTTTATTTTCATCCTAAATATATTTATATGTGCTTGCAAGCTAAATATTAAACAGTGGAATTATCAATTAATGTTAATATTTCTGTAATAGTCACCATCGCCATAAAATGCATTTAAGAGGACGGTAACAACTGGGACAGGAGTGGCAAAATATTGAAAAATAATATTTTGCATAAACTTAGTTAAAAGTTAATAACATTATGGTTAATAACCTCGTTATTGTTAACAACATTAAGGTTAACAATCTAATTATGGCTAACAACCTCATTTTAGAAATAGTCCTAGGAAACGTTATTACAAACTATATAATTATAAAAAAAATTAAATAATGAAAGTAAAATAAAATATAGAAAAGGAACAGTATTGATGTCTGATAAAAAAAATATTCTTACTTTTAATAAGAATGGGATGTAAATGTCTTTAGCATATATTTTAAAATATTTTCCTTTATATCTGAGGTAATGAGTAGTCAAAGAAATGATTTCTTTTCATTTAATTTATTATATGGCTTTTTAGTGATCGATTTAATGGAGACATTAGTGACTAGTAGGAACATCGTTTTTTTGGTGAATTTTGATATTAAAAAAATTCTCTACTGAAAAATTTAATGCATATTTCTAGTAACCCTCTCGATTTATACAGCATATTTTGAACATTCTTTGAATTTTAAATCTATTTAAACTGCCTGGCTTTAAATATAGTAAGGTATGAAAGATGTAAATGACATTTTGAATGTTCAAATTATGCTGTAAGTCATAATATTTATTCAAAAAAAAGAATTTATGTTTGAAATGCAAAGTCTACAAAGGTCTGTAAAATGGTCTTGAATGAAGTTGAATAAAGGCCGAGGACACAAATGTCGCATTTCTTGCAAATGGTCCGTACTTGCATATGATTATTTTTCGTTTTTTGAGCCAAAGTTAATACCACTTGATATATAAAATAATGGCATAACTTCTGTAGCTTCTTTTATTTTTAATATGTAGTTTCCTATTATGATTGAATATTGTGTTAAACTTCGTTTTGTACACACCGTTTTATTTATTTATGTCTAGCAAGTACTGACTGATTATTTAATTGATCTGTATTTTTTTCTTTCTTTCAGGAACTTTGAGAAACTCTTTTCTCCTTATAACGTACAGAACAAGCTTCTCATTGGAGAGTGTTCATTTCATGGAAAAATTATACTATTTGGTTTTATATATTTCAACCTTTGCTTGAAAAAAAACTATCTCCGTCAAAAAAGTAATTCTCCAAATACATAGATTGCATTTACGGCAATTTGAAAGAAAAAAGAAATATATGAACATTCAGTAACAATTATATATTGAAAAAAAAAAGTTAACAAACCAATAAAATAATGGGAAAAAAGAAAAGGCTTCAAAATACAACTACTAGAAAAGATAATCAAACTGATCATGATAAGTCTGTCAAAAATATTGATGAATCACTTTCTGTTGGAAATATACCAGAAACACACGGCAGTAGTTCTGAAATTCCGTCAACATCGTTTCATGAAAACAGCAAGGAAACAGTTGAGGAGGAAAAAAGTGAAAGCATATTTCATGTAAAGGGTGACACACAAGCCCCACCTGACTTTTCAATTCTATTTAAACAGTTTAAAAGCTTAGGTGTGAGCAAAAGAGATAAGAAGAGACAAGCTGAGTCGGCTTACCAATTAGAGTCTTATGATTATGAGGAAAAGGACATGCCAAGCTATGACTCTGAAACAAGTGACGACTATGACTCTGACTATGAAAATAGCTTTGACGAAGGTGTCAGGCCAAATGATTGCTTGGATTATGTTGACAAAACTGAGGATCAAAATACTATAGAACTATATAGTGACGATAGAACGGAATTCATAATAATAAAAAATAAACAAGGCAAAATGTACTATTCGGGGGAACTTCAGTTGAATATTTTTGATTCAAGCAGTAAATTATCTTTCGGGAGTATTGGTAACGAGAACTTACTGCAAGTTGACTCTGTTGATCATGATCAATTTTTTGGGGGAATGAATATTGTTGAGGGTGATGAATTAACTCTGGACAATTCTTTTGATTTTAATAAGGGACTATTTTTAGAAAGAGCCACAATTACTTGCTGTATTTATGATTTGCTTTTATACAGAAGAAATATAGCTCGAAAAAGATTTCTGAAATTATTGAATGATAGTTACAAAAACATTTCAAAGGATCTTGTTTGCGCAGAAGATTTTTATCAACTTCTGTTGTTGGAAAAATCCCACAATTTATCATTCGAAAATCCAGAAACATTACTTACCGAAATAACTCAACATGAACTTTTGTCGTCTAAGATAAAACTTCAGGCAGGAAATTTGATTGAAGCAGAAAGAAAACTTTGCAATAGGAATCAGTTATTTCCAAAATTTAGAGATTCATCAGATGTTAATATGCCTGATTTATTTAGAAGCTTGCAAAAGATTTGTAAAACTGGAATAGAAAGGCACAGACAAAATTTATTGGCTAAATGTCCGAACACAAATTTCAATCTTGTATGTCTTATTAAAACTATAAACCACCTACCACGAAGCAAATTGCTCTATATCCAAGAAAATGACATCTCTTTGTTTACAGAATTAATTGAATTAACGAGTGAAAAAAGTAATTTAGGTAATAAAATGTTTCCAGTAACATTTGTTGAAAATGTATGGAATAAGTTTTACAAAAAAATCGAAGAATCAAACAGAATTTCGCTAAAACTATTTATACCCATAACAAATGGTATTTATTATTTCCTGTTAAAGAGTTTCCGATGCGTGATTGAAGAAATAGTTGTTTGCAAGAAACAAACATCAGCCAGTGAGTTGATTTTTTTCAAAGAAGGGGAACTTTCCATTGTTGACGCCATTTCATGGAGTTCTAGTAAACTTTATCACGAATCCCTCGAAAAACAATATCAATTAATATTTAATCTTGTGAAGCATTTCGAACCCGGTTTTTATACGTCAGAAAATAAATTTAGTTACACTTTTAAGTTGTTGAAAGAAAAGGACATTTCGACACCTGGCAATGAAATAAGATTTACATGCATCTCTGAAGAACGTCTTACCTGGCTGTATATTGTGGACTGTGCCCTTGCTCCTATCTTATGCGACAAGTCGAATGCTCGTTTCAAGAAATTGTCATCATCTGTGCTGGCCGGCTTTGTAAATTTCATTCAAGTGACTGAACAAGACCGTCAAGAATCATTTCGTGTCGCTACTCAAAACATTATAAAATTCATTTCCCAAACGTATCCTTACTTCTCTGCAACCAGTTCTACCCTAACGGATATCGATAGTAGTATTTTAACTAGGCAAATTGGCGTTATAAAGGGTGTTCTTCGCTCTGACGATGACGATTCTCTGTTACACCACTTCTCTAACTTGCTGGATATATACAACGAATACTGGAAACACAGACGCTCAATTGTTGGAAAACTTCCAATACCTTGCAGTATATTTAAATCTGATGTGGAATCCGTGATGAAAAAACTGTTGGAAATAGTTCATAAAGCTTGTTTAAGAGAGTTCGGAGAAATCTTCATGATTAAATTTTTGAGAATGTACAACGAATTTTTGAAGCACTTAAAAGGAATTAATTTTACATGGTTTATTCCTAAGATTTCATATTTTAAGGAGTTAGATGGAATTGTCGAGGAGGTGACGAGAGGCAACATTACAGCGTACAAAATTAAAGAACCTGAAAGATTCATTGAAAAACTCGAGAAAAAACAAGGAGAACCTCCTAAGCATTTTGTGATTGAAACGATAAAAAAGTTATTGGATATTATAATATTGTTATTTAATAAAGCAGATTGGAGTGATGAAGATTGCGTCAAATCGGTGGGGGATTTGTTACTCGCCATTGGGCATTCATTTACTCATTTCGAAGATCAAACTGACTACACTGATCTGGAACACTTCGTAAGAGACTGTACTCTACCATTTCAATGCGTCGTAGAAAACTGCAAAGATTATTCGGATTTTAAAAAATCTCTTGACAGCGTTGAGAATTTCTACCTGAATTCTCGCAAACAAAATCAGATTGGGATACAGCAAGCTTTAAAGTTTTGCGAACGAGAGGTGAGTAGAGCAGCAGGAAAAAATGAGTTTAAAATAAAAATGAACAGAAACATACTAGAAGCCTGTTACAACCGTTATACGAAAAAGATGGCATCTTTGGAAAATTTAGAAATCGCTGAAATTTTGAAAGAGCTTAAGAAAGAACTTGGAAAAATGCAAAAACTGCCTTTTCAAAAATGGACTCCTAAATTTAAACAAAACGTTCTACCTGTTTTATTGGCTTACTTAGCTTCAGTTTGGTCTTTTCAAGAATCCAAAGATGTTGCAATCATAAAGAAAAGAATAGAACCACATTGTGTTCAAATTTTGTGCATACTGAGACTTTTGGGTGTTGACCACGAGGCTACTGGAGTGCCAAAACACTTTGCTCAGGTTTTAACAGGTCAAGGAAAATCACTTATTTTGGGTCTCAGTTCTGCTTTAATAGCTTTGACAGGAAATGAAGCATTTGTAGTATGCTACAGTGAGTTGTTAGCAAAGCGTGATGAAAAAGATTTCGATACCTTTTTTTCTATTTTTAGTCAATTTGATTTAAAGTCTAAAATAAGTTATAATACTTTTGACGACATGGCTCAAAAAACATTGACTCGTAAGGATAACGGAATTGAAAGATCATTGAATTCTATTACAAATGATTTTGTTTTAAATAATCTTAATTATAAAGTAGTGGATAATAATAACGATTTTAAAAGAACGGTTCTTTTAATTGATGAGGCTGATGTATTTTTCTCAAAAGATTTTTACGGTAATACTTATAATCCTGTCGTATTTTTAGAAATGAAAGAGCTATTAGAAATTCAGCCGAAGATTTGGAAAATTGTTGAAAGTGGTATTACTGAGAGAGACACGGTGGTGAGAAAAATTAGGGAGTTTATCAATGAACGCATAAAATGTGAAAAGTACGGTGAGTTCGGTACGTTTTTAAAAAGTACCACTGATCTGTTTGAAAATAATCTAAAAGAGATGGTTGACGACGCAATATCCGTCTCGAAAAGCAGCGCAAATAAAGTGATTGACGAAACATACAAAATTAATAAAGATGGATTCATTTCTTACCGAGATTCTTCTCTTATTTACCATACAAATATATTCGTCCGATATAAGAACGTGTTCAATTATTTCAGATTGAAAAAAAACAATTATGAACATAAAAATTATAGCAATTATGGTTACTTGTCAGTGAAAATGGGCTCCATTTCTTACGCAAATTTACCTTCGAGTTATGAAAACATCCTTGGTGTGAGTGGCACGCTAATGACTCTAAATGAATCTGAAAGAAACGCAATGATTAAGTATGGAATTCAGACCATGTCTGCAATGCCATCTTTCTACGGAGAGCGAAAACTAATCTTCGAACCCTCGAAAGACGTTTATATTCTGGACACGCAAGACAGTTGGCTTTCTTTCGTATTCGATGCTGTTAAAAATGTTCACCATAATCGCGCAGTCTTAGTTTTCGTCGAAACCGATATCGAAATGCAATTATTCGCTGAGAAATGTAAAAATAATATCAACCGCCTCCACACGCTAACAGGAAATGAAGATTCTGAAACATTTGAATGGCGTGTAAACGAGGCAGGTATTGCACACACTGTGACCCTCGCCACCAAAACCATGGGTCGGGGAATCGACTACAAGTCAAACGACCGCAGCGTGGAAGAAAAGGGAGGTATTCATGTCATTCAAACGTTCTTTTCTTTGGATGAAAAGGAAGAGATACAGATCAAAGGCAGAACAGCGCGGAAAGACAATAATGGTACTTACCAATTGATCTTATGCAAGGAGCATTTGAAAAGTTTGAATTGTTCAGATACCGATGCTGGTAAACCAATTAACACTTACGCCGAGCTGTGTGATGCCAGAAAGAAAATAGCCAGTGATAATGGTAATGCTGTTGAAGAGCGCATTGAAAGATCCGGAAAGAAACACAAAATGACTATGGAATATTTCGAATCCCTTGCTAATTATACTCCAGAAAAACGAAGCGCAATTTTATCTAAATATCCCTTTGTAGAGCATAATTAATTTATTGTTATAATCAGTATTAAATATAACAAGATCGTGTGTCCTGATGTTTAGAATATGATTGACCTAATTGTCATGCTACTCATGTTTTTAAAATTAATAACAAGACTACTAGGTCAGATAATTTTACAATGCTTATTTCCATTGTTTTATTAATTATTTATTTAAATTATTATTTAATGTTATTTATTAAGTTACATGAATTAAGTTATTTTGTAAATTGAGATAAATATTGAATATAATTTATTTTAATTTTTTCAAGTTTTAATTTGATCAAATCTGTTAGATTCTGATTTGATCCGTTATTATAGTTGATAAAGTCCGAATTGTTGTCATTGTCCTTTTGACTTGTATTACTATACTTGTACTTTTATTATGCATACAATTTAAATGTATACACATACAATTATTATTATTCTATGAAATTTTTAAAGAAAAAAAAACAGTTTTACTGGCAAATAAAAAGTTTGATTAAATTATTTCTCTTTTCTTTTAGAAAATTAGGTACTGGCTGAGTTACAATTTTAAGGAAGTTTTAAATTTCTAGCAAAAATTTTACAATGGCCGAAGTTGGGCACAAAACTGTCTCAATAGGTCTTATCTGAACATGCAGCAACGGACCAATATCGGGATGTTTAGATTTTTTTAATATAAGTCCTAGAATGGCTTTTAACATAGGATAATAACTATATAAGGCCCATATTGGTTGAAAAGCGGCTGCAAAATAGCAGGTGAAATGCACAATTCTATATATGGCCATAGTGGCTGAATAATGGATATGAAATATCATGTTAATCTAACAATTCTATATAGGATCAATATGGGATCTTTTTACTTTTATTAATGAATATTGGTTCAACGAGAGCCTATTGCTGCTAGGGATGTTTTTAACCAAACCTAGGAATAACGCAATTAACAACATTAGATTAAATTTCTATTATCGATTTATTATACTATAGATTCTAAAAAAGAAACTCTTTAAAACAAAAGCATTACAAATCAAGTGAAATTTAGCTAGTTCTATTCTGGGAGATGGTTCTGAAATAGAATTTTTCAAACATTTTTAGGAAAAATTAAGATAAAATCAAATTTTAATGTACAAAGGAAATAAAACTTGTTTTCAATGAAAGCCCAGCCATGCTTAGGTATAGCCCAGCCATGCTTAGCGTCTTGATTTTATGAACCGAATAACATTTTTTTCTGTTTAATTAAACGATCAAGTTCACTATTATCTCTAAAACTCCGTTGCGAATTTTTTATTAGATTTAATTCAACTATTTGAACTTTATTTGAATTGGTATTTAAAACATATATTTTTGTGCTGCACATAAAAACGTTAATAAAGCACAAAGAGAGATACATAAATGGTCATGCTTAAGGTTTGGTCCTATAAACAAGAACCTTCCTCAGTGTCTTACCATTGAATGACCAATTTTTTCATTTGTGTTTAGATATTGAGGAAGGTTCTTGTTTACAGAGTTGAAACCATAGTATGTTCATTCTTTACTTTCCTTTTAGCTATTTTAACATATCTTTCAAATATTTTACTCTTTTAAAATAATTTTACATTTTATTCCTCAAAGTTCAAATTTCGCTACTATAAGTTACCATAGGCCTGATAAGTTACCATAGGTCTTTGAAATTTAATTTCTTTAGAAATTAGTTTAATCTTGATTAAGTATTTTATAACAAATTTAGAACAATCGATAAAATTTTTAGTTTGCGACCATAAATGTTCAAGTCCGTAGCCTTGAAATTTTGATCCAAACCCAGAAGACAAGTAAACTCTTAGATTCTGCATTAAGAGAAACTAGTCCTTGCGGATGACTTTTTGATGGAACTAACATATATGTGCATTACATTGAAAGGAAAACTGCAAAAATGATACAAAAAGGAAAAAATTGCTTTTAATTCCTTTTGTATTATCAAATTAATGTCTTCAAAAAAATTAAACAATTATCATTGATTTGTTTGAGTCAAGGTAAATGAAACTCTTTCAACATTGAACTTTTCTACAGCAGGCGAGGATAAATTTTAATTGGTGAACTTTGTTCGTTTCATGTGTATAATAATTTATCTGCTCACTGTTAATTGCTGCATTTCTGGTTTAAGAAAAGAACACTAAAAATTTTTTTCACGAAACATGATCAAACAAAATTTTTTGCAAATTATGGATTTTTTTCTCAAAACAGAAAATAGTTACTTCTTAGAGAAAATGAAAAATTTCTGATAAGAACAGATCCCGAAGTTTAAATTCATTATTCAATTTAGAATTTTAAAAAAAATAAATAATTTCAGGACATGGTAAGTAACTGAGTTTCTAGCTAACCAAGAAGTACTCCATCTTCAATTTCTTAATAAATTTAATTTCAACCGAGAAACGTAAGGGAAAAACTCTGGAACAGTATTCAATTTCTGTACTTCATTTGATGAATTGACGTCATTTAATGAATTTGTACCATTCCTAAACACAGCTAATAAAATAAAAATTTAATTCAAATTATATTCAAACTGAGCTAATATACACTTCTTGTCAGTGGTCAGTAGCAGCAACTACCAATATTGCTCTTTGCTTGTTTTTTTATGCATATTATAGGTCCTTTATTTTGCATTTCTTATTTCCCGCACCACAGCACGGCCTTGCAACTCATTCTAATACTTTTCAAAGGCATGATTAAATTATTTTTTCTTGACTTGGAGCAATTTTCTCTTGCTTTTCTAGAATCTGGAATGTGCAAGAAAACAAAAATGTAGATGAAATAACACAGCTTTTGCAGCTCTAATTTTTAGACCTGCATTAAGAGGAATAGAATGCCATTACTGAAATTGCAAAAGAAAAATTAATTTTTTTCCATACATTTTCAAAGAAAAAAATACTTCTTTACTCAAGCTCATATTATTCCTTTTCATATTAACATTAAAATATTAATAAACATGCAATTCTCATGCTAAAAATTTAATTATTTATGCAAAAGCTACAAATGGTTATAATCTTTTGAAGGATAAAAGCTCTTCTTTTTTGTTGTCTAAAGCTACATGAAAAATTTCTTATTAAATTATGTCATGAAGTTAACCTTAAAAAGAAAACTAACAACAGAAGATTACATATTATATACCAATTTTTTATCAATTTTTTTTTTTAAATTTATTTTTGCTTGATTATCTTACAAATTTTATTCCTCTTGTTATTTGAAAAATATTTATTAAGCATAGTACAACTAAAAACTGTCTTTAATAAGAACAACTCAATTATCATTAAAACTGTATTTTTGTGACTTATCTCCACAAGAGGCTTCTCCCTTGAATCAACAAGATTGTGATTACTTAAATTAGATTTCTGAGTGAAAAACTTATAAAAGCATTTGTAATACTAATTCAATACTAAACAATATAACGTAAAGTTAAACTCATATTGATTGCAAAAGATTTTTCACATACACCACATTAATAACTCATTTATTTTATCCAATATGAACATGAAAGTATTCTTTTTTAAAAAATGAATTTTCTATGAAAATATTTTATCGCACATACTGCATGAATAAGGTTACTCTCCACCTTTTATAAAATATGAACAACCACTAACAATACATCCACTCATTTATCCAATATGAACAAGAAAATATTTTTTTAGGCTGTTTTTCGAATTCTTTGTCGTAATATAAAATGATGCTTTTTTTGTGAATAATATGCTATTTTTATAAGTGCTGTGAATTTACAACTATTACTCATGACTGTTAGGTGAAGTTTAGCCTATTTAAAGCCTGTGTTATCTACGCTTATTTTGAAAATGATGCAAAACGTCAATATGGAGAAAAGCCACAATTTCGTGAAAATGAAAAACATTTGTAGTCTAATGTTTTAAAATTAAAAAACTTACTCCAATGCTACATTACCTGGGCTCATAAAAATTTGCAAAACCTGAGAATAAGGCAGTGATTTTGATTCTTTTCATGAAAAAATATCGCTAGAATGGCAGTTTTTAAATAATGTTAATAACTTTTAATGTATTAAAATTTTTTGTCTGTTCTAAAGCTCAGAGAATTCATCCCGGCAAGATTATATATAAAGTTTAAAATCATCAGATTGCTTCAAGTATAAGGCACTTAAACTATGGCTTTATTTTTCTTGGCAATAGAGTTTCAAAAAACACTGTAAAATGAATTTCCTATGAAAATGTAAAAAAAATAAATTTTAAATTGAAGTTTATAAAACATTATGCAGAAAAAAGTTTATGTACTTATGTCGACTTGCTTACAGATTATACAATAATACTTTGTAAAAATTTATTATAAGCAATTAAGGAAAATTTAAAAAAATTATAAAGAAAAATTCAAATTAATAATAATAATAAAAAAAAATGCCTGAACAAAGTTTTTCACCAGTTTGAATAACGGTGTCTCGTTTGAAAAAAATTTATGTGTAAAATATTGATCACATACATTACATGAATAAGGTCGAACAAGAAATATTTTCTTTAAAAAGGATTTACGTGAGAAAGATTTCTTACGCAAACTGTATGAATGAGCTTTTTCTAAAGTATGAATATCAGTGTATCATTTACTGACATTTTAACGAGAAGCTGCTGGTATAAGTATTATCTGCAGTATGTCAGAACAACAGAATGTTTATTCAGCTATATTCGAATGAGAAAGATTAATCACACGAGAATAGAGTTTTTCCCAAAATTAAGAAAATATTGTTTATTTAAATTATGTTTCTGTATGAAAGACTGATCACACACAGTGAATAAATAAATTTTCTTTCCCTAATAAACAAGAGAACGTTTATATAAATTAAATTTCTGTGTGAAGGATTTATTTCATAAACTGAATGAATACGCTTTGTCTCCAATATGAATAAAAGAGTGTTTATTTAAACTTAATTTATGTGAGAAAGATTTTTTACACATACTGCATGAATAAAGTTTCTCTCAAGTATGAACAACAGAGTATGTCTTTAACTAAAATTTAAATGCTCAAATATTTTATTGTAAACACTGCATGACTAAGTTTTCTCTCTAGTATGAACAACGTAGTGCACCTTCAAATGAGATTTGGATGAGAATCTTTTAACACACAGGCTGCATGAATAAGGCTTCTCTCGAGTATAAACATCAGAGTGTATCTTTTACTGAAATTTCAATGAGAAACTTTTATCGCAAATGCTGCATGAATAAGGTTTCTCTTCTGTATGAACAAGGAAATGTCTAGATAAACTTGGTTGCTGTGTGAACGATTGATCACACACACTACATGAATAAAGTTTTTCTTCGGTATGAAGAAGAGAGTGCTGATTTAAGTTATATTTATGTGCAAAAGATTGATTACACACACTGCATGAATAGGGTTTCTGCCCAGTGTGAACAATAGAATATTTTTTTAATGAAGATTTATGCCTGAAAAATTTATTGCACACACTGCATGAATAAGGTTTCTGCCCAGTGTGAACAAGAGAATGTTTTTTTGATGAAGATTTATGCCTGAAAAATTTATTGCACACACTGCATGAATAGGGTTTCTCTCCAGTATGAATAACGCAGTGTATCTTTAAATAAGACTTCAATGAGAAAGTTTTATTGCACACGCTGCATGAATAAGGTTTCTCACCAGTATGAACTAGGGAATGTCTATACAAGCTATATTTATGTGTGAATGACAGATTACACACACTACACGAATAAAGTTTCTCTCCAGTATGAACAAGAGAGTGCTGATTTAAATTACTTTTCTGTGTAAAAGATTGTTTACACACACTGCATGAATAGGGTTTCTGTCCTGTATGAATAAGAGAGTGTTTTTTTAAAGAAGATATATGTGTGAAAGTTTTATTGCACACACTGCATGAATAAGGCGTCTCCCCAGTATGAACAACAGAGTGTATCTTTAACTGATATTTAAATGAGAAAGTTTTATCACACACACTGCATGAATGAGGCTTCTCTCTAGTATGAACAAGGGCATGCCTATATAAACTAGATTTATGAGTGAATGATTGATCACACACACTACATGAATAAAGTTTCTCTCCAGTATGAACAAGAGAGTGTTGATTTAAATAACATTTATGTGTGAAAGATTTATGGCACACACTGCATGTATACGGTTTCTGTCTAGTATAAGCAAGAGAGTGTTTTTTTAAAGAAGATCTTTGTGTGAAAGATTTTTTACACACACTGCANGGCCAAAAACGGCTATGCCTAGGGCCTACGAAAGGTATAATCCAGCTCTGTGCCTAGGGCCTACGAAAGGTATAATCCGGCCCTGTATATATATATATATATTTTAATTTCTCTCTATGATAAAATTTGATTGCACTCACTCAGTTACTCCGCATGCAATAGTGTTCCGTATGAACGTATTTTTGCTCGATTGAGAGGAGAAAATATAAAAAAAGTTTTTTTTTAAAATTACTATAAAATTAAACATTTTTATTCAGGCATCACTTATTAAGAATCATTCAAACAGAGCAAATTATTGGTTCATTATGTCAAGAGCACAAATATAAAAATAATTAGTTTCTTAGATTGTTTGTTATTGTTTTTCGATTTCTGTTTCCGGCTACTCCTAGAACGTTTAATACTTTCTTGTTTTGCCCACTGTTAGAATGCATAAATTATGCCACTGGAAGTTTTTCTTAGCGATTGGCTCAGCTGCCTCTGTTTTTCTATCGCGTTAACCCTAAGAATCTGCGCCAGCATTGAAGAGCGCTAATGCTGTTTTTACGCCAAGATTGATCCTACAGGTGGCATTGGTTTTTTGCCGGGATCTGATACTGTTCTGAGAAATTTATTTTTGCATAAAATGTATTTAATAATCTACATAGAATATAAATTATAATATATGAGGCACTGCTCAAGTGGAATGAAGACGGACAATCGTCCCAAGGCCCTTTAAAATTAGTAGTTCAAGCGCTGCTAAAATAATTTAAGACAGCTATAGAATATTAATATTAAAAGAGAAAAAGATCATTCTCACCGCCTCACGAAAAATTTGTTTAAAAAGTATTTATTGTTTATTTACTTACTGATTCATTTAAGTCGTTTAGTATTTGGTTCATTCGAACTATATCAAAAATTATAATTTATTTAGGTAAAAATCGATCATTATAATCAATGTCTACGTAGCGTCTACATAACTTTTTCATTTCTAGAAAGTAATAAATGAAGATCCCTGAACTTCCTATTCCTTGTTTCCAGAANTATATCCATTAAAGTTTCTATACAAAATAAAAATATTTTGGTGTCAATATATTTTCCTTTTTTTTGTTATTTTAGGATATAAAACATATTTTTCAAACTTTAATGAGCGTAGAACAAGTATTGCATTGCTTTATATCTTTTAAATGACTCATAATAATTTTAAAGAGCAAAACATTTTTTTAATTCAATATTTTTACTTTATTTAAGGCATTTTTTGCGCAATTTTTGCATTTTTAAGGGCATTTTTCGCCCTTTTTAAGGACATTTTTTGCACCTTTTAAGGGCATTAGTTGAGATTTTTTAGGCCATCAAAATCCGGGCTCTAATAATAACCGATGTATAAACAAATTTAATTTCTTTTCGCGCAAGCTACAAATAAATAAAAAGTGAAATTCAATTATTCGATAGGGAAAATCAAGGTAGCATAAATTCCCAAGCGTAATGAAGAGAAGAAAAGAAATTAAAACAATAAAAGAATGCAGAAACTGAAAACTGCAAGTTCATAATAAATCAACTTATGTCGAATCTTATTCAATTTGTACTTTATGAACTTATGACATAAAAAAAGGAAATCAGCATTTATATGTTATTCTTTGTTATTTAAGAGACTAGAGAACCTTCCAAAAAATGAGGGGCGGGGGGATTTTTCATCACAAAATGTTACTTGAACTTCGTGTTTACAAGTTATGAAACAAAACAAATTATACCTACTACATTCAAAAAAAAAGTATGAAGGCCTTAAATTATTTTGGATTATCTGTTACAAAACAATTTCGTAACAAATTTTCATAGTGCTATCAACAATTACTCGAAAGAAAAAAATTATTTTAAAAAATTAAAAAAAAGACCGTCTTTTCTATGGTTTGGCACGGAAAAGTAAAAAATAAAATGGTATTGAGTGTAACTTATAAGAATCGAGTTGATTTATACTGTCCTAAAATAATGGAAAAGACACTCAATGTTTGATTTTTTTTTTTAATTTCTCAAGAAATACTTAAATGATTATTTTGTAACTTTAGAGATATTTAGTTTATGCTATTTTTTATATTTAGCAATAAGATTTAAATCTTTCAGGGGTTTGGGAGACCGACAATAAATGACGAAAGAAAATTTGTTGTTAATTCAAATAACTGAATTAAGTTTCGTTTTCGGCTTCCGTGGTCATATTTTTTATTTCCATTGTTTTTCGTATTGCTTCAAGTTTTTCAGCTGCCGGTCAGGTGGCCGAGCGGTTAGCGTGCCTGACTGCGGAGCCAGTGGCTGCGGGTTCGAATCCCGCTCTGGGCATAGATGTTTCTCTCTCTCTATCTGTGTTCTATGTCCTTTCTCCTTTGTGTGTGAATGAGACCCGCCGTATAAACTGGTTGTGGTAGTGTGACGAGGGCGACGCTGCTCCACCGCCGTGGCTTCGCCACAGGTGCCCACTGGGTAAAGAAAAGAGAGTTAGCAGTTCCGGCACTTTCTGTGGCCAATGGACAGTAGTTCCAAGTGCCCGCCATTAAAAAAAAGAAAGTATTTAAAGCTAGTTCTTTTATACTTCGCAAAAACTGAAAAAAATTTAAAAATGTTTTTTTATAATTTTGTAGTGAATCGTATAGTAACTAATAAAAAACTAATAAAAAAATTAATAAAAGTAACTAATAAAAAAAAATTGATTTCAAAATCTTAAAAATTTAAAAAGTTTCAAGAGATTTTATAAGTAGTTTTTGTACTTTTCAAAAAAAAGCTCAAAACGATCAGGGGTTTTCACAAATTTAATTTTGTATCATAGATAAAATTTAATAGCAAATGATACCTTACAATAATCATCTGGAATCTAAACTTTGATGGTATAGAGCAGTGGTTACCAACAGGCAGTCCGCGGGCCACATCCGGCCCGCGAAGTCTTTCTTTGTGGTCTGCGAACTAAAATATATTAGTTGTAATTTTTTTGCAGACAATTTTCGTAAAAATCTATAAGGGTTTAAAATACGTTTCTTTCGTTTAAAAAAACCCCAATTTCTTCGTTTCTGTGAAATTTAACATACCAACGGTGCAAAAAATTTATTTCTCAGATAAAAATCTACTTCTTATTTTAATTTGTAATTCAATACTTTTGTTTTGTACAACTTGATAAAAGTCTGACAGTAATATTTAATGTTCCTTCAGACATAAAAGAGTCCTATATAAAATTTTGATAAAGTTGCGACCCGCCATTTGACTGATGTTTTAATTGCGGCGCCCGGCCTCATGTAAGTTGGAAGAAACCCCTGGTATAGAGAAAGAAAGGATGCAAAAGACATACTTTTATGCGGGTGATCCTCCACATTTCCACAGCCGATCTCATTTTTAATAAGTCTTGCTTAGTACATGAAATTTGTGGATAGCCCATTATTGTTTTGAGCTTTCTTTCAAAAAGTACAAAAACTACTTAGAAAATTGCTTGATTTTAAATTTCTAGGTTATTTAAATACAGCTTTCATCATTAGACAAACCTACAAAATAAATTATCACGTACAAAACTTTTTAATTTTTTTTTTGCGCATGCGCAGTATAAAAGAAGTAGCTTAAATACTCACATCTTGCGCAGTTTTTAAAGAATTTTTTTAAGATCTTAAATCAAGAAAGTAATTTTTCATAAAATTGTCCATATTTCTATAAATATTCATTCATTACGAAACTTTATTCAGTTATAAAAAATAACAACTAACAACTAAAGTAATCGGTGTTTTCTGGCATAGGGTGTTCAAAAATACTTGTTTTCTTTCGTCATTTATTGTCGGTCTCCCAAACCCCTGAAAGATTTAAATCTTAATGCTAAGTATAAGAAATCGTATGAACAAAAAATACCTGTGAATTACAAAAAAAAAAAAAAAAATCTTTTAAGTGTTCCTTGAAAAATTTCAAAAAATTTCAAAAACTGAAATTGTCTCTTCCATTATTGTAGGGTAGCAGAGGAGAGTCGGGTAGCCCCCCCCCCACTTAAGGAGTATTGCTTATATTTCTGTATAATATTGAGTAATAATCAATATTTTTGTATGTTTCTATTGTGTTATCATCTAATTAAATAATGCAAAAGGAATAAACCAAAAAAAGAACAGTTCAACTTAAAAAAATAGAAATTTAAAAAAGCATGTTTTTCAGCTCTTTTCAAAATGTGTCGGGTAGTGTTTTTTCTGTTACTGTTTTTTCAGGTGTAAATGAAAATGACCAATGTATTGACAATAGATAAACACCATTAATCATTTTTATCACAAAATTATTTAAAACCAATTTAGTAGCTGTTAACATTTGCGCACTGTTCCATTTTCCACGATTTGTAAATTTTTTCTTGAATTTGGGCATTTTCGAAGAAAAAAAACTAAAATAAAAATTATTCTTCAAATAATAATGCTAAAAATATTATGTTATATAAACAATTAAAATAAATATCATACCGGTATTGTGAAATAGGCGAGAAAAGAAATACAAATACCACCAAAACAATTTTAGAAAAATTACAAATTGACTTTGTATTTTGATTGCATTCAAATGTTTCTGTAGACTGATTCATTCGCAAATAAGTGAAAATAAATAAGTATGTGAATAGCATATCATAATATTTATGATTTCTTGATATTAAATTTAATTTGGATATATCAATTAAATTTTAAAAATATTTAATTTGCATTTTTAAATATATAAATTTATGTTTCATATAATATTAAAACATATATTTGTTTCAAAAATGCATATAACATTCAAATTTGAGGCAATAAAATAATAATCTTAGCAACCGTACATTTATCGACGAAATAAAATTGAACCGTGATACCCGACATTCATGTGAGCGGGGCTACCCGAAATCCAATTTTTTTTGTAAATTTGTAATTACTCGAACAATTTTTCACATATAAACTTCTTTCTTTGTGCAAATTAAACTTAAGACTACATACTTTAATGTTGTATGTATAGAACAAATTATTTTTTTAGTATTAAAATGAAGTTTAATAGAAACATT